ATGGAAATTTGCACCTTATTGGTAATGTAGAGAATAACTGTGTTTTAGTTTTGACTGAATGGAAAAGTGTCCAGAAGCAGTTATCCTTACACATTGTACAAAAACCTTAAATACTTCATACAATATGATATTAAGGCAAGCTTATACATTTGAAGTTTTAAAAAAATTTTCTTAGATTCAGTCAAACAATAATCTTGTATTTATTAATGTTCTTGTTCCTAAATGCATTCTGTCCAGAAAATCAAATGCACAATGATGTTGCACATTGGTGTGCCCCAAATTATACTTCGATATTCAAAATGTGCAATATTTTAGGCTTCTTAGTCTACTATTCAGTACTACAGAAAATATCAGCTATGAATTGAAACATACATTAAACACAGATTTGACAAAATATTCACCTTCCAAGAGCAATATCTCAAAAAAGTAGCTAAATCACTTTCAAATAATCTTTCTGTGGAGCAAGGGAAATTTAAGGCTATATGAGAATAGAAAGAAAATTTATGTACAAACTTTCCACCTTCACATCACAAACTTTGTTCTTTGAATATGCACCAAAGTCGTATGACACATGGAGTAGCAGAACTGTTGTTCGACCTTATTGTTTTCCCATTCTCTGCAACTCCTTTTGAGAGATCTGAACATAACATCAGGTGTTCTCGGTCCTCTTGCAAAACAGGGCACTTCTAGACATTCTGTACATACAGTAGATAGCATGGCATTGGAAATGGGATTGTGAATTTATTGGAAACTTTCTGTGGCCACTGAGGAGATCTTTACTTTGGACATAGTGACATTTTGAAAGACAACTGACTTGTGAGACATCTTTGAAATAAATGGAAATAGAAAAAGTTACTGTTCAGTGGGAGTTGAGGTGGCAGAAATAGACTTTTAATTGTCTCTGTATTCCATTGTAAGCTGTTTAACTTCTGGAGAGTGATCAGTTTTTCAGTCTTCTTTTTGGGTAGACAGAACCTACGCATTAACACATTTGGAAAACTAACACCCTTCCTCTTAAAATGAAACTGGGGGGAAATGGGTGTTGTATTTTTTTTATACAAAAGTCAGCCAAATTTGGCTTTTGGATATCTGTGGTGAGAAACAACATTTTTAAATTGCCTTTGAAATAGTTCACTTTTGCATGCAATTATTAAGGGCCTTGTGAGGAAAAAAAAAACAGATAGTGATATGCTGAGTAACTCTGTTTAGGTTTGTGTTTACTTGAATGAATTAATGGTACTTATTTCATCACAAGGTCATTTTATAAGCTTTCTTATAAAATGTGCTTGACTACAAATGTGCTTAACTATGGAGTGTGTGTACAACCTGCACATTTTTTTAGGTTCTCATCTTCACCAGCTCTGTTTTCTCTGTTGCTCTCTCTTTGTAATATGCTGAAACTGTTCAGTACACACAGTACAACTACTAAATTGAAAATCTAACTGTATATATAAAATACTGATATTTTGAGTTAGATTTACATTTAAAAATTATCCAACATTCTTCAATTCAGGAATCTGATTCAACTGCCTTAAATGCAGATCTACAGTAATGGTGACATGTTGCTATTATGTTATCAAATTGATGGAACACGGAAACTTCAGACTCTTTAGTGACAGAGACACAGACATTTGCTGGTTGCATCATGGGCAAATTCATTTATTTAAATGTAACTGTCAGCACAGTTTTGCATAGTTACATTCTGACTGAAGGTAATCAACAAAGTTTATAAAATGTGATGTGTGTACATATGTGTCCTCTTGAAGATAGATGTTTTCCCACATCCTTTTTTATATCAGTTCAAATTTGGAATTTACATTATATACATATACTTTATTGTTCTAAATAAAGATATTATGCACTGCCAAATAATTACTATATTGCTTTGTGTCAGTCCCATTTAAGACCTTTCTTTAAGTCCTGTATCACCTGGAAGAATTCTGTCAGAACATATGCTACTAGATGCAGACTCCTTCATAATGCATTTCATGAATGTTGCTGGTGCACTTCTTGCACAATAAGTAGCATTCACCAGGGTTTTTCAGTAGAAACTAGAGCTTATCCTGTGAGAATGGCATCATTTCTTTCAGGTTTCAGTAGTTTATTGTGGCTTTTCTGTAAGAAGTCCAGGACAGGACACATCTCCATTCCTGAGAGAGAATGAAAGGATGCTGGCTTAAGAGGAAGAGATAAACCTGCTGAGACTTTCAGCCTTCCTTGGAGAGCATTAAGGAGCCTTGGAAGAAAGAGAGGTGAAGCTGCAGTAGTCAGATACAGATGGAAATAAGAGTGAGGTAAAGACAGGACACAGGGCAGTAGGATTTGGGGATAGCAGAATTTAGGGTATGGACAAGAATGAGAGCTGTGGCTGTTGGTCTGGACACAACCAGAAAGGCAGAGCAGGTGGACTTGAAGGAGGCTACGGAGCAGTGGAGTAGCACTGATACTGTATCAGGAGTTGTGCCCTGAGAAGCAACACTGGTGGCTCAGGTGGGTCAACAGTATGATGGACACTCAGTTCAGCTAGGGCTACATGAGTACCATGTAGCTGCAGAGTTGGAAATGAGCATACTTCATGTGGAAGCTGCAAACTTCATGCAACAAAAAGGAGGCAGATTTGACTTGGTATTTCAAGATGCCAAAAGTGACAGCTAGGTACCTGGAAATGAGATGTAAGAATTCTTAGCTAACAAAACAACTCTCACCAAAGTCAGGAGCTGGTAAATGATAATCTGCTTCAATGTCCAGATTGACTGTGGTGTGGAGGTTATTGGTGAGGGGTGACCCTCAGAGGAGGGAACAGTAGTGTTTAATATCAGTCACAAACTGTGGGATCAAGTGCTCTCTCAGCAAGTTTGCAGACAACACCAATCTGAGTGGTGTCAAATACATCCTGGGCTGCATAAAAAGGGACCGTGGCCAGCAAGTTGAGGGAGATTGCTCTGCTCTGAGACCCTACCTGAAATACTGCATCCAGGTCTGGGGTCATCAGCATAGGAAAGGTATGGACCTGTTAGAAAGGGTCCAGAGGAGGGACACAAAAATGGTTGGAGGCATGAAATATGTTCCTATAAAGAAAGGCTGAGAGAGTTGGGGCTGTTTAGCTTGGAGAAGAGAAGGCTCTGGGGAGACCTTATTACAGCCTTCTAGAACTTAGAGTTGGTTTATAAGAAAGATGGGGACAGACTTTTTAGTAGGGCCTGTTGCAAAAGGACAAAGGTTAATGGTTTTAAACCTAAAGAGGGCAAATTCAGACTAGATATAAGGAAGGAATTTTTTACAGTGAGGAAGGTGAAACACTGGAAGAAGTTGTCCAGAGAGGTGTTAGATGCCTTGGAAAAATTCAAGGTTAGGTTGGATGTAGCTCTGAGCAACCTCATCTGGTTGAAGATGTCCCTGCTCATTGCAGGGAGGAGGAACTAGATGGTATTTAAAGACCTTTTCCAACTCAAACTAATCTATGACTCTATGAATTGTAACATATGTAGACAGAGTAAAGTGCAAGAGGAAAAATCCGGGAAAACATGTAAATCTTCAGCCAAAAGAGACACCACCATAATATTTTGATGACTTACATAATGCTGACTAACTACATACCACCACCACCACCTAATTTGAACCCTGAAGACTTAAATGTGCTAAAGGATTGAGAGAAATATTTACCTCCAGTTTTCCAATTTTAGTTTCTCCAAAACAATTAATATAAACATCTCAGTTAGTGGACAAAAACAAAGGCTATCTTTGTGTGAGGCATGGACAGCATTAATAATGGCATTTTCCTACTTCTGTCATGCAGAAAAACAACATTTATTATAATAAACAACTTTTTCTTGATAGCAATCCATTTTAACAGCTTAACACTTCCATGAAATGACTGTATTTTAGATGAGCTGGATATATGTCCACTCCACGTACACTCCATGTTACACTCTAGTGTAATTTTATTCCATGTTAACACGTGTGTTACTAAACATATTTTTTGCCCAAAGTTTCTGAATGGTCATAAATAAGATGTTTTTAGTCTTAACAAAATGGATTGTTTCAGTATTTTACACTATATTAACACCTTATAGAATCACTTCCTTACTACTCTTCAGTAGTTGTTGATGGTAATTTTTTTCCAAAGTTCAAACATTTCTAAAATGGATTAAGTTTTCCCAATATCTACAAAGCAGCATGTGCTAACACAATCAAGTCTTGTATTATTATTATATACTTAAAAGGAATTACTATGTGCTGGTGTGTAATAGAAAATAAGGTTAAATTAAAGCAGACTGCAAGGGGGAGGGAATGGAAGTTTAGCCTCTTTTTCCTCTGCCATATCCCAAGGTAAGTTATTGCAACATGTATCAGGAAAAATCCCAATGTGATTATAGTTCCTCTGACTTCTGGCCCTTTCTACAAGACGTCATGATGAGCAAGCAGGAACTAAAAATACAGACGAGACATTTTGCAGACAGACATGAGCCTTGGGCTTCTGGCCAGTCACAAAACGCAGGGACAATTTTCATTCTTTTTTGGCAAGATATTTCTTGAGCTCATGAAAAAATGTTCAACTGAGACACAAAAGCTTCTTTGTTTGTCACCAGTTCTGCTCTGCAGGATAATAGCATGATAGTAAAATTGGCCCAATTAGAGTAAAGAAGCTGCAGAGCAGAATGTATAGCTTTTGTCAGTTTAAGTGACTACCACAAGTGACAAAATGTCATCTTCGAAATTTCACCTTGTCATCTCCTACATTGTGAATGATGCTTATTAGGACCCCCCAGGTTATTTAATCTGTCATGTTCTTAAAGTTAAATATTTTAGACCTTCCTTTTTCTCAGCAGTGCTGTCATCATTAACAAAACACAGAACAGCCTTCACCTTTAGAAGTGACAAAATGAGGATGTGTCTCAAAACCAATTAATAGCATCAGTGAAAGCAGAGCATCTGAATCTTTTGTGTCTCATCCCCGAGAATAAAGCAAGAAGTTCTTTGTGGCAATTATTCCTCCTTTGCCAGAAGTTGGGAAGAAAGTAATCCATTGACATGGTGATACCACTCAGCAGTTTGTTGTTAAGTCTTGTTTCATATTGTTCCAGAGGAATCCAATTGCCTCAGTCCGTGAGCACTGTGTTTCCTTGATTTTATTTTAAATGCTCTAACCTTCGGATCAAAAAAAGAGTTGTTCGAATGAAGGATACTGTTACATGCTGCAAATTACATTGTAGCTCATTACATTTCAAATAGAATCACTGATACACAGCAAAGTTTTAAACAGGCATACTAATGTACATGTAATGTAGTGTGGGATGGCAGGTGCTGATGGGGGTGGAGCAGGAGACAGTGGTTGGATTTAGCAAATTTTACAGGTAACTGCTGTGAACTTCAATCATATACCCCGAAGGAATGGCTGCACGTTACAGAATCTCTTCACAAATCCAGCTCTTGGCAAGAGTGAGCCTCAAGATTGCCAAGTCCCATGCGCTGATCAAAAGGCTTGCTGGGCATCCCACACTGCACTGTATTCCCCAGCCACTGGCTGCTCAGTACCGTTGCTCTTCCTGCTCAGTGGCTGCAAGTGCCAGAACCACATGCACCTACCATGTCCCTGGGGGTTCCTGAGATGAATCCATCTATATTTCCATATAGGCCACCAACGTTATTTCACTGAGAGCCAAAAATCTGGCTCCACGTTGCATGACTCAAACAGGTCTTCTGCATTTCAACCTGGACCAAAACTGGAAACTCAGCAAAGCCCCAGGTTTTTTCTCTTGCATACATACACCTTTATGTTCTGTTCTGTCATTATCCAGTACCTCCTTCAGCCCCCACCCAGACTCCCTGTACTCTCCTCTTGAGTCATACTCTGCAATTAAAGCCTCATGTATCCCACTTGCACTTAGCAGCCCTAACATTAGCAGTTTTATGTAGACAGTAAACATTTGAGTTAGCATTTAGGAAGAAAACACTTCAAATTGTTTAGCAAAAGATTAGACTTCTGGGGTCAGCTATAACTGGAATACTGCTAGTCTCACTGTAAATTGCACTGCACAGCAGTACACATGCTGGCTGCAAGCAGAGAAATTCCCACAGAGTTTTTCCTCAGAGGAACAAACAAAGTTTATGCAGCATAAATATGTTAACCCTATTTTCCCCTAAAAGCATTTGCCCGTCAGATTTAAGACAGCAAGAGCTGGGCAAATTAATCAGATATGTCTTTGTGTGGTCCTTGCTCACAGGGTTCCTGTCAATAAAATTTCCTGAACTGACTGAAGTCTAACCTTTGCCTCTGATGACCCTCTTGTTGATCTTGCCCAGACCGACTATAACTTGAGCTCATTTTGCTGTTTCATCTTGCTGCATCACCAGCAGCTTCTGTGGCCCTTGCCTATCCAACCATGAGTTGACTCAAACCCCATGCTCTTCCCACCTCTAACTCTGTGTCCATTACAAAACCTTGCCATATTGACCAAGGCTGGGGAGCAGCATGTGTTTTCAGAGTCAAGACATACAATACACCCATCCAAACACCTCCTTCACCTTCTTATAGTAGTCTGGGCCAGGTTTGCATGCTCTGATGGATCAGACACCAAGGTATATGTCTTTGGACTCAAAGAGTGTCCACAGCCTCTTCACCCCACAACAGCAGTGCTGCTCCAATGCTGCTCCACAGGCTGTGGGAAGCCACACAGTGCCAGCCTTTAGCTTCCATCTGGCCTGGTTCCAGGAGTACTGCGTTATACTTTGCACAGCAATGCAGATTCAAAGGGAGAGAGAAGCATGGTCTTGCACCCAGCCTGGTGGGCAGGGGATTAAGAAACCCTTTATTTAATTTTCCCTCCTTCACGGGCAAACACTTTAAGGATTAAGGTATTGAGTAATAGGAGGAATATATATCATTTCCTTTGTGCGCACTGATATTAAAAATAAAAGCAGTAAAATAAAAGCACCATTTCTAAAGAAAATGTAAAGGTAAGCAATAATGCAGGAAGTTAGTATGACTGCGTGCAGTCAGAGACTGTTGTCAAATTCTTTGATGGTTTTGTAAATATCTTGTCTACATATCATTCCAGTGGCTTAAAAATAAACTGGGAATCTTTTTTATCAGCAAAAAAGATAAATAGCCTTCACAAAAATGGTAATGTTTTAAATTCTACTAAGTCTGCCTGACTGTATATAGTGACAGTAAGCAACCCAAAACCAAGAAAGCAATGCCCAATAAACAAGTTCATGTACAGCAGCTCTGCACTCAAGAGATCAGGTTTTAGAAGTTTGTAGGTAATTTATTTTTTTAGGGAAAAAAAATATTTCCAAGTTCTGAAATTCTATGACCTCTTTGGAGGGCAGAATAAGCATTAAAAAAAAGGAGATCATAGCAAATTATTAATTCAAATTAACCAGATAATTATATGAAACTCTCGTGCATAAACCATGGAATTTCACACAGGGATTCCTGAATTTAATCTGCCAATTTATAATGGACATTTTTCGTTGCAAATAACCATTTAATCTGAATTGAAAGGGATATGAAAGCAAAGTTACTATGCGGAAAACTATTAACTATCATTATGTAAAAAAAATAATTTAATTTCCACTTCAGACTTTTATCTGTGGTTCTATAAAGTGGCAACAGTGCTCTGGTAAGGGCAAAGTTCAACTGCAGGACACAGAAGGAAGCATCATATGATTTTGGCAATTAAATAAAGTATCTGAAATATCAGAACATGCCATCTACTTGATAAGATGTTACTTTTCAGGGAAATGTAAAAATCTGTTTCAGGAGTAAGCAGCAAAAGAAGAAAATACAAGTGTGTATTTCTTTGAAAAGTATAGGATATCCTTTCTCTTCACAACCATTTTTATGACCTTAAATACTTCTCTACTCTATTAGTAAAGTAAGCAACTTGCTTTCAAAGCCGCCAAAAACATTTTTGAACTGAACTCCATTTACAGGATTTTTCATTAATTGTTTCCAGTCTCATTACAAGATTCTTTCCGTTTCAACATGTTTTGGATCTTAGCGCTTCTGGAAATCAACCAAACCTACAGCTCTAGCGAAAGCTTATCTGCAGAGGAGTCTCTAGATGTAGTGTGTGTTACAGTTTCCCACCATTTATCACTGCTTCTCTGCCTGAGGTTACTGCTTTCAGAGCAAAGCTGGCAGAACAGCTTAGGTAAGACTTCCTCACCTGTTTCAGTACCAAATCAACTGGGCAAACTTGAAACACTTTAAAAACTGCTGTTATTTAATAAATGAAGGTGAAATAGATGATAGAGCACTACAAGGGTTGAGGACCTCTCTCATCACACATTCTGCCAGCTCTGGAGGAAGAGGCAATGTTCGGCAAAGACAACTGCTAATGGACACCTGAAAATGTGAAAAAAATCACATCACATCCAGTGGCAATCATTTGTCTGCAGTCTGCTACTAAAAATTAACACACAATCATGCAAATGACTCATCCTGAGAACAAATCGAGCTCAGCAATACAAAAGCTGATGCTTGGTCATACTATAAGATCTTCAGAAACATCAAAGGACAAGCTTTGGTTTTGAAGTTATTCTCTAGAAACTAGATTTACAACAATCAAGAAGATTAAACCCTCCCTTCTTGCCTAGTTTCCCATTACATGAGGCACACTTTGTTCATTCCAGACAGTTTCCCAATGACAACCAGGACCTCAGAGCACCAGTGAGGCAAAAATAACCAAATCCACTGGCTGTTGCAGTTGGAAAAAGATATGGAAGGGAAATGGTTTTTAAGAGCTTTTGCTAAAACATTACATTTAAAAAAACCCTTGTGTGTCACCCAGTGTGTTTGCTGCAAGCACTGATATGCATCATTTACTTTCTGCTGTAACCTTGAGGACAAAGACTCAGTTTTTGCCCTAGAAAATAACACCAGTTACATTTTATCCATCTATTGGGAATATTTACTTTACCATGTACAAAACTGATTAATGTCTACAAAAATTTTCCATTTAGAATTCAGCCAAGCATAGTATATGCATTGCTTATTCCGAGGAGTATTGCACCTTTTTTTTCTTTTTTTTTTCTTCTTCACAATCTTTTGCTCTTAAGCATAATCCACTTCTTGTTTCTCTCTTCAACTCTTTTTTGACCTTTTCTACTTACCTCTAGGAATATAAAACTGGAACATTTCATCAAATGTAAGCATTAAAAAAATATTAAAGCATTTTCATTTAAAAATCTTAACTAATTTTTTGAAGGACATAGTATTTAATCTTATGTGAAGCTAACTCAGGTTTGGCATGATAAGGTGGTCTAGATAAACCTCATTATATAAGTAGGTAGCATAGCAAAGATACAAAATATTACTAAGCCTCACAGTAATAAAAGGCATATTTCAGGTTTTGAGACATTACCTGTTTTCTTTCCCCTACTTATAACTATCTGTAAGCTCTCCTCTCCCTTGTATCTAGAAATACAAAATTAAATATTTTATCAAAAGTTCCTACTATATTGTAAAGCTTTAAAATTGATCAGTTTCTTATTTGCTATTTTAGGAAAATGGGCTGGAAGAATAATCCATCCTCTTTCCAGTACAGAGTCAGTGTTATCTTTGTCACTTCTGAAGTAAGTGGTTTTTACCTGCTGGTACTAAAGAGTCCATAATGGAGAACAGATTATTAACTTTCTCACTTCAGAAGCTTTCTACATAGGTTTTCTACACATTGGGTCTTTTCAGCCTTTTCCAGATTAAACAAACCTGATGACTTCAGAGCTTCTTCACAGGCCATGCTTCCAGCAAACTCCACTTGCTGCTGTCCTGCCAGTTTATTAAAATATATCCAAAAGGTGTTGTCTATAAATTAGAGGTACATTCTTGAGGTGGTTGCTATCTGAAATAGGATGACAATATTTATTACTTCTCCAAACTTGATCAGTAGATGCCAAAACACTCAAACAGACTCCTGCAAAGATTTTATTTTTCTCTGTTGCGACAGAGATATGAATTAGCTTCTGCTACTTATGTGTTTTCTGTGTCAGAGTGCTTTCTGTAAACTCTATCACCTTTTGAAGAACACAACACTAGATGTTTAGTTTATTTTTATTATTTAAAGTTCCATTATCCAGAATAATGGAATTTTTTTTTCTTAAAACTAGCAGTGGTCCAGAAAAAAAACAAGTTGGAAACTTTGCAAATGAAAAAATACAAAACTAAATCAACAGTCAACAAGTAAGATCAGCTATATAGTGTCTTAATCAACAAAATTATGCTGTATATTGAAAGGCTTTCTATTTTGAGTGTTTATGATGAAACTAGACATAGCAATTTCAGATTTGTTTTTTGGCTAGGAAGTCACTATGAGCCTGAGCAGCCGTATCGCATCTTCTCCAAAAGCTGAATAGTTGATTCTGTGGATAGAAGTTTTCTGTTAAGAATCTGTCATACATATTAAACAGAAATGTTAAGAAGTTTTCCACAGACATTCTGAAAAATGGTAATTGTACATCACTTTAAAACATGAGCATTTTTCACATAGTACAGTATTTCCCTAAAGAATGAAATTCCAGCTCTGTCTCTGAAGGAAGATAAAAGTTTGCCTACATGAAAAGTATTCCAGAGTAGCTATTTCTGATTAAATGCAGGAGTGGGCCTTCTAAAACTGAGCTAATGCTGCCTGCTTACAAATAAGTAAACATATTCTGAAAAGGGATTAAGTTTATTTGGTACAAACAGTCTAATTTTCAGTCAAGATCTCCAACATCATATACAAATTAATTGCATAATGTGAATAAAGAGGAAAAGGGTTTTTTTGCTTTAATTTAAACTGTGCTTTGATAGAAATTAATTTTAATCTAAGTCATAATTCCATCCACATTTCTGGTGCAGCATAAATGCCAGCAATGGAAAAGTGTCAAAGCCCTGTAGATCAATGGGTTGTACAAAGCAGGGAAAAATACACTATCTGGGAGCTAATTATTCAGGTTTTTAATAGATATAATTATTACTGGAATTTTTCAAAATATTACTATATATTATTTAACTGCCTTCATTAAGTGTACATTATTTAATTTTATAGTAATTTTATCTCCAAATATGTTTTCAATTTAGCAAAAATTCTATGAAGTTTTGGGCCTCAGTCATTAAAGCCATCCTAAGTCATCAAGTTTTATATTTTTGGGCAAATTAATCAAAACAATAAAGAGTTCTCTGAGTCATATTAGAATAAGATCAGTAGGTGCTGATGTTTCAGCAGCAAACTGCAGTGAATGTTTTTAGACATGGGGTTTACACTCAGGTTCTCTCTTGGTTAGATGAAGAGTCACTCACTATCAAATGATAGCATCAGTCTAGCACTCTTTGGAGCTCTAAATTATTCAAAGTATGTTAGAACTACCTATAAACCCCTGACTTGTATTACCAATGGACATACATACAAGGTTTGCTCTTCAGAGAAAATATCTATATCTCTGCAGCCAATTCTGTTACAAGCAAAAAGCACAAAAGAAGCTCCTTTTGAGCAGAATTTCAATCACACTGAAGTATCATTATGTATTTGAATTGTCTCCTTTTTTTCTGGGAAGCCTTAAGTTCAAGGGAAGGATGTAATATTTCAGAATGATTTGTATTTGCTTATCTACCATGAGGCACTTGAAGCTGATTCAAGACATGGGTGGGAGCAATGTGGCAACACAAGGCTTGGCAGATGGGCTGGTGACCTCTCAAGCTGTAGGAAGATCTTCAATGCCAGTCAGAAGGGTTAGACACCATGCTTTTCCATCAGAGATTGTGGAAAATGATACCCAGCCCAGATACTGAGCAGGTCTGCAATTTCTTCTTTCCTATGACTTCTCCTCAAGAATCTTGATATTGTCTTTTTTTTCCCCTTAGACCCACCCACTTTTGCCAGAAAAGGTTGGGAAACAAACACTCCAAGTGTGAGAGATCTAGTGAAGCACAGACTACCTCATCACAGATCATCACCTTCACTGCGAAGACCTATCTGTGAAGGTTTCATGTAGGGGAATCCCCAATAGTGATGTATTTGTTCTTATGCATGGTGGAAACATTATGGGGGGAATATTTCGTCCTTCCTGCCACCACATTAAACCCAGCTTTCTCTGAATTCATTTGCAACCTGCTCTATCCGTTTCGTTTTCATCTCACCTAGCGAGATGCAGCTATCTAGCTGCTAGCAGTGACATGAGAACAATACTTTATGTAAATAACTTGAAAGTGAAAGTTGTCATTAGTGCAGGTAATTCTGAAAGCAAGTGAAACAGCTTTTTGCAATAAGAACCATTAATGAGACTGTTGCTAGGACTGTAGTCTGATTCAGAATATGCCTTTTTGGCTTTCTTATTTTTCACTGCTTTTCAGGAATACAACTCCCCAAATGGTAATGCTTTCTTCTATTGCAGCAAAAAGTATTAGAGAAGCTGTTCATCTCCTTCTGCCTGAGCAGGACAGACACTCGAGCACAGCAGAACACATTAGAGCATATTTCATCTGAACATGCACAGTCCCATGAAACATTCTTGTGCAGATGCCAACTTCCAATGGCTGAACACAGCAAATTGGTCTCAACTGAAGATGAAGAAAGGAAGAGCTAGCTGTTTTGTGTAAACCAGATATAGGAACGTAGGTTAGAAGGGCTGTGTGGAGATTGTCAGGTCCAGCACCTATCAACATTTAGCAGCTCAATCACCAATGTGATAGAGGGTATTCTAAAATTCCAGAGAAAGTTACTTTTTGGAGTGGGAAGTGGGATTTCTAAATGTAGCACCTGAGTCAGATGTACAGGATAACTACAAGCAGAAGGCACCTAAATGATGTGAAGAAAAACACAAGGGAGAAAGGAAGTTGAAAATGGAATGAGATGTAGCAAAAAATACAGAAAAATACTCATACTTCCAGAAGAATACCATACCCACACTGTGTGGTTTTTTTAGGACCTGTTGCTCTCTGCCTCGTATTGTGTATCCCTGTTCCCTTCATTAAATGTGGTGTAATGAAATACACTCCGTGATTACATTTCTCCAGTTTAATAGGAAAGTTGTTGGAATATGAATCACTACCTTAAATACTTTCACTTCACTCTTTTGAAGAATAGCTGTTAGACTGAGACCAAATGTACAGTCTGCTTTACCCTGAAGTAAGTTTTATGGTTTTTTGTTTTCACGTAGGGATCAAGACATAAAATAATTTTCTGTAATTTCCTAGGGAGACTGAGAAGAGAAAGAGCTTTCAGCCTTTTAAAGGAGTGAGCTAACATGGCATTGTGACAAAGTGTTATACTGTGTGTATGACAAGTGAAAGGACTTGTAATGAATCAGAAACACGAGCCTGGAAACTCTGTATTTTTTCCAGATATTGCCTCCATTTTCCCAAGGAGAAAGCATTCCTTTCTGGCCCATCACAGTGTAGAATGTATAGAAAAGTTTAACCCTGTATCCTTACAACAAAAATATGTGTTCTGCCTTACTTCAAAACTACTCATACACTATGCTTTCAAATGTATGAGTTTAATCTCTGTGGAACTCAGTTTCCATTCCTTACTAGTTACTGGACAGTGAAAAAAACCCTGCAAACCACAAACCCACAAGACAATTGTAAACAAACACTATGACAGATGATGTGGAAGAGAAAGGAAGAGCTAAGTGAAATTATTTACTGATTTCAAGTAATAAGAAAGACTAAAATTACTGGACTGAATGAACTGTAAAGAAAAAAAAGATGAAAAAATATGTAGCATATGAGATGTGAAATTTTCCTAGAATAATCACTGTAAAATTATTTTTTCTATACCAGAAATTCCATATGTTTCATACAAAAGTGTGTGTCCTGCCTCTACACTGGAAACTATTGGAGTTTCCAATATTCAAAGAGACTGTCTGTATAGAAAGACACTCTAGAACGACCACCATAGAAGACCTCTTACCAAAGTTTATATAATGGTCAATTTTACTATCTTACACAAGATTCAGGGTAGTATTTCTAAGTCTATGTTTATTTAGAACATGTTGTTTTTCAGAAGGGACCAACATCTGCAATATGATATGAGTCTTGAACCAAAAGGAACAACTCGTACAGCCAGTGACTTTCCCAGCCACACATCATCAGGTTCAACAGAAGAACAATTAAGGTCTTTTGAATATTAAAACAACAACTAATTTGGAAGGAAATTCCAAAGAACTTAGATCTTAGACACTAACTGTCAATGAGGATTTTCATAAGTCTCCATTTAGTTTGGTATTCCATCATGTCTGCAAAACAAGCCCATAATAAATTAAGCTGCAGATGAAAGGGGCTACTGTTCATGAGCTTTTTCCAAATCTAATCTAGGATCCAGTGTAGGGTTGACAGTATCAACACCAACTGTGAGTTTCTGAGAGGACAAAGGCAGATGGAGTTAAAGCATGATGCTAGGAAGAAAGAAAGAAGACAAAGCTTTCTCAGCAGTAAGGTTACTCAGCTGACATATCTGAGTATTTCTGAGCAAGAAAAATACTGGTTTGTTGGTATTTTTATGTCTCTAGTTATGCAAGCAAAACACTGTGATCATATTGTGAATAAAAATTTTACTAAAACCACAGCTGTTTCATATACTAAACTTTTCATCCTAATTTTAAAAAAAAGTAACAGGGGCCTATTTTGGCCTTTAATAATGTAAATATACTTTAAAAACATTAACTTGTTATTAGTTTCAAAGTTTGAGCAAAATTTTCAGGCACAATATTATTTCACAAAAGATTGAATTAATCTATTTTATTTTGTACTGAAGTGAACTAGAAGCACATTTATAGATACAAT